GTAATTTTCAAGCCACCAGGTCTGGGACTTGAACTGTGATTGGTCATCTGGGACTCCAGCAATGTAAACACTATACCGTTGACTGGCCCCTAGTTTTGCTTTTTGCCAGAGGACGTGTGTGTTCACCAGAGGCTGGTAGAAATACAGAGAGCAAGGGAAAGGAGAAAGAACCCTTTAGTGAGGTGTGATCAGGCTAAAATCCCTTCTGTATGCCAGTTGAAATTCCATTTCTCCATCTTGTTGGAATTTTGGGCACACATGCACATGTGCCTGACATGTTTTTCAAGCTTCTGGGGTCGGAATTCTAACCACTTGGTTGGCTACATGGGATCCAGCTCCCTTAAACACTAAGTCATGAGGCTGGCCCTATGAACAGTATCGTTGAGGTAGGCATTAGTTTAAATGCTGCTGGGTTCAGGACGCAAGCCATGCTGCCAACCATGTGGGATCCAGCTGCCTTAACCTCCACATCACTTGCTGGTCCTCTTCAGTATCAATTAACTTACTGTAACTTTTTATTTCATATACATATGTGTGTGTGTGTAAAATTAATTAATTAATTTATTTTTGCCAGAGAGTGTACACTTTCTTGAGAGAGAGAGAAGGAAAAAGCATCCCACAATGGGACATGGCCATATTGTAATTCCTTTTATTCTGTTTCCTTATCCTGTTGGGATTTTGGACATGCACACAAACACACCTTTCCGGCCTGTGACTTAAACCATGCAGTAAGCCATGTGGGATCTAGCTGCCTCAACCAGTCAGGGACCAGTCCCAACTTAATAAACATTTTAAGCTTTTTGACTGTTTTAATACTTAGCTTAAAACACAAACACATTCTATAGCTCCACAAAAATACTTTCTTTCTTTTTCTCTGAATTCCTTATTTTATTTATTTATAGATTTTTCTGTGTGCACTCGTCAGAGAGACGGAGAGAGACTGAGGGAGACTGAGAGACAGAAAGTGAGAAATCATACCCAAGGGGGCTAGCCACACCACAATCCCTTCTCCTCCATTGTCTTGGGATTTTGGGCCTGTATGCACATAAACCGAGTATAAGTTTTAAGTCGCCGTCTGGTACTTGAACTGTGGTCAACTACATGGGAGTCCAACAATGTAACCATCACACCATCTGCTGGTCTTGAGTTTTCTTTTATTTTTAAAATTTGTAATTTTTACTTTAAAAAAATAATTTCTTGGGGCCAGCAGGTAGCTTAGTGTTTAAGGCACTGGACTCCCACATGGTTGACCACAGTTCTAGTTCTGGAACTGGCAGCTTCAAACTCACGCTGGGCATGTGTGTGTGTGTGTGTGTGTGTGTGCATGCCCAAGAAGAACAGAGGAGAAGGGATTGCAGTGTGGCCATCTTCCCTGGGGGGGTGATTTCTCACTTTCTATCTCTGTCTCTTCGGTGAGCACACACACCCTTTAGCAAAAATCTCTCTTTCAAAATAATTTCTCTTTATTCATGATAGAGTACATGCACACATGAGAATGAGTGAGAGAGAAAGAGAGAGAAAGTGCCTCTCCCAGCATGGCCTGATCATGTTGCAATCATTCTACTTCAGTTTTGCATCTTGTCAGAATCCTAGGCAAATACAAGTGTACCAGGCATGTTACCCCTTGGGGGCTGGGGTTTCATCTACCTCCTTTTGCACAACACTACTTCTGTTTGGGATTGGCCCTATTTCACTTTTTTTTTTTTTTTTTTTCTTTAGGGCGCATGTGCTCTCCAGAGAGAGAGACAGAAAGCAAGAAACCACCCCCTAGGGAGAATGGCCACTCTGCAATCCCTTCTCCTCCTGGCATTTTGGGCATGCACACACATGAACCTGGCGTGAGTTTGAAGCCACTGAGTCCAAGACTCAGACTGTGGTTGGCCATGTGGGAGTCTAGCAATGTAACTGCTATGCCATCTACTGATAACCCTTTTTCACTTTTTAAACCTTTTTTTCCCCTTCTTTTTTAAAAAATATGCCAGAAGGCCCATATGTTCATGAGAAAGAGGGAGAGAAAGCTTTTCCCCATTGGGGATTAGTCATGCTACATTTCCTCTACACCGTTTCTCCATCCCATCAGGATTTTGGGAATGCACACATAGGCCTGGTGCGGTTTTTAACTACTGGGGCTAGGACTTGAACCTCTGTTGGCCATGTAGGATCTGGCTCCCTGCACACATTGCTGACCACTCTGATGGTCTGGCCCTAAATCTTTGTTTTTTATTTTTAAGTTTATTTATTTCTCTAATGGAATGAAAGGCAGAGAGAAGAGAGAGTTAGAGACCGACGGCTCCAACAGAGTCTCAATCCCATGATCCACCCCCAGTGTCAGGCAGCCCTGATCATGGACATGTACATGCTCTTTATACTTAAAGAAGTCTCTGGACACTAATTCAGAGCCTTCCCATGTAGGTCAGCCTTGCAGAGCTTGCATTTTACCAGTGTACTGTTGTCTAGGCCCTGCTTTTTCATCTTTTTTTGTTGAAAACTAAAACACAGGCCTTGCCATAGCTAGTGACAGTAGGGTGTTACTGCAGGAACCTGGACAGGCTGGGCATGGTGGCACATGCCCGTGATCCTAGCTAACTCAGAGACTGGAGCAAAGGATTATAATGGCCAAGCCCTGTCAAAAATACCTCTCTCTTGGGGCCAGCAGGTGGTGTAGGGTTTAAGGTGCTGAATTCCCACTTGGCTGGGTCATGGTTTGAGTTCCGGATTCATTGACTTGAGAATCAGGCCGAGGAGGTGTGCTTGTATGCCTAGAATATCGAGTGGAGAATGAAGGCGAAGGGATTATGGGTGACCATTCCCTCGTGTGTGTGTGTGTGTGCACATGTAGGAGGGTGATTTCTCACTTTCCTTCTCTCTGAATCTCTCCAGCAAGCACACATGCCATATGGCAAAAACCTAAGTGGGGGGGAACTCTTCTCTTCTCCTCCTCCTTTTTCCCTCTACTTTCCTACTCCCCCTCCTCATTCTCCTTTTCTTGGATGCTTGCTCACTCTCAAAAACAAGCAAAGGAGACACAAGCACATAAACATTTACATTAATCTAAGCTTACAGAGGGTCATGATCATTAATATCACAATTTCATGACCTCCACCCATTAGTAGGCCATAATAAACAAATATCTCCAATTAAATCAAGCACAAGAGCTTATGATACAATCAAGCAGGAGATCAATAAATATAAGATACATGAGGCTGCTGTTATAACAGGGCACACTGTTTTACAGTAAACTTTTTTGTTGTTTTTTGCTTTGCCCTAGGGCACACGTGCTCTTCAGAGAGAGAAAGTGAGAAAGACACAGAGAGAGGGAAAGTGAAAAATTACCTCCAGGGGGTTGGCCACAGCACAATGCCTTCTCCTTTGTTCCTCTTTCAGGATTTCGGGCACACATGCACATGTACTCAGCATGATTTTCAAACCACTGGAAATGTGGAAGTCCAGCACCTTAACCACCGTGCCACCCGCTGGCTCTAAGTGAATTATTTATTTAGAGAGAGATTTTTGCTATAGGGTACATGTGCTCACTGTAGAGACAGAAAGTGAGAAATCACCACTGGACGAGATGACCACGTCCCTATCCCATCTCCATTCTCCCGGGATTTTGGGCATGCACACACATGTACCTGGCATGAATTTTAAGCTACCAGGTCTAGGACTTGAACCATGGTCTGCTGCATGAGAGTCCAGTGATGTAACTATAATGCTGTCTGCTGGTCCCAACTTTTTTTTTTTATAAGTAGGAATACACTCCAAAATAATAAAAAGTATAGCACAGTAAAAAAGTCATTTATTAGCACTATCAAGTATTACATACTGTAAATAATTCTATGTGTTCTACTTTCATAAGACTGTCACCACAGTAGGTTTGTATATACCAACATAGCTATAAACATGCGAGTGATGGGTTGTGATATGACTTTAAAATGGCTATACTGTCGCTAGATGATAGGACTTTTTCAGCTTCAAAAAAAGAGAGGAATGTTTCAGCTTCATTTAATCTTCTTTTAAAAAAACAAAAAAACCCAAAAAAACGTTTATTTACCTTTTATATATTTGTTGTGATTTTCAATCTGCCAGGTCCTGGACTTGAACCACAGTCATCCATATGAGAATCCAGCACCTTAACCACCAGGCCACCTGCTGGTCCCTCCATTATCTTTTTTTTTTTTTTAATTATTATTTTAGGGATCAGCAGATGGCAGAATGGCTATGTTGCTGGACTCCCATGTAGTCGACCGCAGTTCAAGTCTGGGACCTGGTGGTTTAAACTCACACCAGGTGTGTGTGCATGCATGCCCAAGATCCCAAGAGGAGAATGGAGCAGAAGGGATTGCGGCCTGGCCATCCCCCTGAGGGGTGATTTCTCGCTTTTTGTCTCTCTGTCTCTCTGGTGAGCATATCTGCCCTATAGCAAAAACCTCTCCAAAAAAAAGAGAATTATTTTATTTAACTTAACTGTTTGTCGTTTGTTAATTTATTTATTTAAACTTGACCAGAGAGGGACAAGTGGGGAGGGAGTGAGAAAGCAAGCTGCCAGGTCTGGGACTCAAATCGTAGTTGGCCATGTGAGAGTTCAGTGCCCTTAACCACTATGCCACCTGCCAGCCCCAAGAATTATTCAATTTTATTTATTATTATTATGTTCTTTTTGACCAGGGAGAGTCAGAGAGAGGGGGGAAGTGCAAAAGCAAACCACCAGGTCTGGGATTTGTGGTCGACAATGTGGAGGGAGTTCTGCACCTTAATCACCACACCACCTGCTGACCTCCCTCCATTATAATCTTATGGGACTCTGTCATATACATGGTATATCATTGACTGGTTAACAAGTTTCACAATTAACAGCAAATTTTCAAACTGCATACTTACACTGTGAGGGATTTTGAAAAGCGCTTCTGTTCTTGGAAGAAATTTTGTGACACATATAATACTTACAGATGGATTTTAATATGTATTGTCTTAATTATTTATTTCTTACTCATTTTCAGTTGAGTGGTGATTTTATGCAATGGCTTCAAGCCACAGTTCTTCACCAGTGCCTCAAGGAAGCAGCAGTGATGTTTTCTTTAAAAAAGAGGTAGATTCGACAAAACACATTCGACCTGTACAGTCACTGCCAGATGTGTGTCCCAAGGAACCCACAGGTAATTATTATTTCTTTTGAGAATTTTTTACTCATCACTTATATTATCTTTAAATGAGTAGTTAAGTTTCATATACTTAAATGAGTAAATTTTACTACTGTAAACTGGAAAAGTGTTAGAAATAAGGGTACTTACTGATTGAAAGTTGTTTAGTTAAAACACTGCAGTAAGTCTTTATTACTTGTCAATCTTGTATCTGCAAATTTCCCTATTCTCTAAAATTTATTTGTAATCCCCAAATCAATATTCATGGCACTTTTGTTTTAATTTGCAAACATGTGCAGAGTAGTGAAAATTTTAGTTTTCTGACATATTTTATTAGCTAAGGTTGAACAAGTCAGTGCTATCTGCTTTCTTGTTTCACCCCTCATACTCCAAACAAATGTTTTTTATATGGTTCTTTCAGTGCCTCAAGTTTTGCATTTTCATGCTTTTTATTGATTGTGCTGATTAAAAAAGCCTTCAAACGTGCGAAGTGTTGTCTACTGCTCCTAAATGTAAGAAGGCTATAATGTGTCTTTCTGAGAAAATATATGTCATATAAACTTTGTTCAGGCAAGAGTGTTAGTGCTATTAGCCATGAATTTAATGTTGCTGAGTCAACGAGATATATGGAATAATGTGTCTTAAAAGAGAAACACACAGTATCAATTGCTTGATGAAAGTGTTATGACCAGGGGCTCACAAAGAATTAGTTCAGTATTCACTAATTGAGTATTTGTGGTGACTTAATAGACTAAAACTGTTGTGAATAGTGAGAATCAGCTGTGTATTTATTTTTTCCTCTATGGGTTAATACCACAACAACATTTATGTTACTTCATCATACCCAAAAAAAGGATATTTGTACCAGGGTTGCCTGCCATAATTTGATAGAAAAAATGGGCCTTTAAAAACACATTGGGGTATTAAAAGATAGAAAACATATGAGGGGGCTTCAAAATGTTCATGGAAAATGTATATTGTAAAAAAAATTATGGATTTAACGGGTTTTTTTTGCACTGAAATGAATTCACACTTTAATTTCTTTTTGTGTGTGTGTGTGCATGGACTTTAAAAAAATCCCCTTGTATAATAGAAGGTAGTAGGTTTTTGACATTGAAAAATAGTTATACATTTTACATTAGGAATGAATGAAAGAAAGACCTTTTATGATCTACCTGTCTTGAAATTACAACCCTCAAATATTGCATATCTTCTGTCTTATATATGTTCTTTATACCCTTGTTGAAGTTTTTTTATCAGATTGATTTTCATTAGATCATTTACCATGAAAGAGATCATTTAGTTGATTTGTGTAAAAGATAGTTTAGTTGGTTTGTGTAAGCATTTTTATTTTTCGAGGATGTACTTTCAAATGTAGAATCAACTTCACAGAATTCTCTTATTTACTTTTTGCAGGTGATTCAAATAGTTTATGTGTTGCCCCATCTCTAGTTACAGATCAACATAGATGGACTATATATCATTCCAAAGTAAATCTCCCAGCAGCATTAAATGATCCTAGATTAGCAAAAAGAGAATCTGACTTCTTCACAAAAACATGGGGATTGGACTTTGTGGACACTGAAGTCATACCTTCATTCTACCTCCCACAGATCAGCAAGGAACATTTTACAGTATACCAACAGGAAATTTCTCAGGTAATATTTAATCTTTAAGTTATAGTCAGGTCTAAAGTAAGATGCACAGATCTGTTTATACATAAACTTTTTTTCAATAAATATTGTACATCTCATTATTTTTCAGTACTTTTTTTTTTCCCTCTAGCTTGCTTTATTGTAAGGATGTCATGTATAGTACATATGATGTACAAGATAGGTGTTAATCAACTATTTATGTTATTGGTAAGGGTTCAGGTTGATAGTAGGCTATTAGTAGTTAAGTTTTTGGGGAATAAGAAGTTGTATATGGATTTTGGTCTATGGGGTTAGGGGGTAGCTTTCCTAACCTCCATATTTTTCAAGGGTCAACTTTATTCAATTTTTACACTTTTCTTATTAGCAAGGCTAATTTGAATTTAGCTGATTTTATTTTAGTGAATTAGTCAATTGCTTTGCTCTTTTTTTGTTTTGGAGAGGCAGATTTGGCTTATATTGGCATTAGTACTATATAATGTTTGGATCATTTTTAGTACTATCAAACTTTTTTATACAGAACCTATACATTTTATTTTCATATATATATATATATATAGCCATTTACCGCCTACAGTTTTATGTTCTGTTTTCAATGACCAGTTCTATTTCTCTGAATGTTAAGTGGATGGACTTTAATATGCATTCTTTTTGATGGTTTCTAACCTTATGCCTTTATTAGACCTATAATTTGGCTTTTCTATTGGTCAATTAATTGATTGTCCACTGAGGCTTATTTGGATGTATTACATCCCTAGAAAAAGACTACCTGGATTTTGCTTCCTTTGCTTTTTCATCTTCCTGCTTTATGGTTTAGGAGCCAGCTGACTTTAAAACCAAACTGATGTGATGGGAGTGAACTATCCTGCCATTTTTCTAGATCTTGGAGCTGTATATCAATTCTTGAATGGATCACTCCACACTTGTTTAACTTGCCTGTGAGGTTCACATCAATTTTCCTGGCTCTTTTATCATCATTTATTTTAGATTTGCCATTATAACTATGCTCCCTTACAATTAGAAACCACGCAATGATTGTGGATCATGACCCAATAAGAATGCAGCATTTGCCTCTCTTTTCAGCATTATTGATACTCTATTTTTTTTAAAGAGACTGTTTTTTATTTTTTCCAGTAGGGATAACATGCTTGCCGAAGAGACAGAGAGAGAGAGAGCGCGCAAGAAATTACCCCCTAGGGGAGATAGTTATGCCACAGTCCCTTTTCTTCCATTCTCATCTCGGGATTTGGGGCATGCACACACACGCACCCAGCATGAGTTTCAACCTGCCAGGTCTGACACTGGAACTGCAGTCAGCCATGTGAGAGTTCAGCAACATAACCATTATACCATCTGCTTGTCACCATTGTTGAAATTCTTGAAAACATCAGCCAAGACATTTATGTGCAGTATTATGTTGGCATAGAAAGGTGGTAGAAAGAGCTATTTATTAATTTATTTTATTTTAAAGAATTATTTTATTTAGCTTTATTTATTTATTTATTTATTTATTTTTAAATTTGACCAGAGAGGTAGCATGCACTATCACCAAAGACAGAGAGAGGGAAAGTGGGAAAGCAAGCCACCGGGTCTGGGACTCGAACTGCGGTCGGCCATGTGGCAGTCCAGCATCCTTAATCACCACACCACCTGTTGGCCCCACTATTTATTCATTTATTAATCAAATATTTATTGACTATCTTCCACATGCCAGGCATGGTTTTAAACATTATATAAATCACAGAGATGTATTAATATTTAGATGTTAATGCATTTAAAAGACTTTGAATCATATGACGTGTGTTCTCTGACCACAATACAGTTATATTAGAAATTAGTAACAGAAATGTCTGGAAAATCTGCAAATATTTGGAAACAAAAACTTTATACTTCTAAATAAAATGTGAGTAAAAATGGAAATTTTTTTTTTTTTTAAGTTTGCTGTAGGGTGTGTGAATTTACCAGAGAGAGACAGAAAGAGAGAGAGAGAGATGTGGAGAAAGAAAAAGTGAAAAATCACTGCTCCAGAGAGATTGGTCATGCCATAGTCCCACTTCTACTATTCTCCTCTCAGGATTTTGGGAACGTACGCACATGCACCCAGCATGTTTTTCAAGCCTTTGGTTCCAGGACTCGAACCATGTAGTCAGCCATGTGAGATCCAGTCACCTTAGCCACCATGCCAGCTGGCTGGCTCCAAGAGAAATGAAAAAGTAGTTTGAGCTGAATGGGAATGAAAACACAGTGTATCAGAGTTTGTGGGCTGGTTCTTAAGCAGTACTTAGGAAGTAATTTATAGCACTAAATACAAACATTAAAAAAGAAGAATGTCCTCAATTCAGTATCCTCTGATTCCATCATAAGAATCTGGAAAAAGAAGAGCAGATTAAAACCAAAGTAAGCAGAAGAAAGAAATAAACTACAAGTTCAAAATCAGTGAAATAGAAATTAGAGAAAGTTGATGAAACCAAAAGCTGATTATTTAATATATCAATATAGTTGATAAACTTCTGACAATACTGATCAGGAGGAAATAAAAGAGAGTAAAGACAGAAATCATCAGTAATAAGAATGAGAAAGGTATCACTACAGACTTTACAGAAATTAAAAGTCCAGTAATAGTTTGAAATATTTTGAACAACTTTATGCCACTTTAGAGAACTGACAAATTCCTTGAATGATACAAATTATCAGAGCCCTCTCAAGAAAGAATAGGTAATCTGAATTATTACAGAAATTGATTTGTAGTTCAATACCTTCTCACAAGAAAACTGAGGTCCACTTGGCTTTATTGGTGAATTCTGCCAAACATTTAAGGAAAGAATAATACCAAGTCTACACAGAATTTTCTCAAGTTTTGGTAAGATGTGGACAAGGCTGGTACTATGATAAAGCAAGTGAGGTTGTAAGGTGCAAAATGTGTAGAGACACCAAAATCTGAGAGTGGATGCCTCTTAAATATTGCATTTTATGCTCTTTGCTTGCCTCACACTTATGCCAGTCCTAGTGGAGAGAGAGAGAGGAAGAAAGTAAGAAAGTAAACCACCAGGCCTGGGACCTTACTCAGAGTGGGCCATGTGGGAGTCCAATATCTTATCCACCCCACCGCCTGCTGGCCCCAATACATAAGCTTTCAAATTTTTTCCTTGGTTTAAAAAAATTTTTTTCCTAATTGATTATAATTATACAAATATTTTCTGCTCACCTTCCCACTTCATTCCATAGGTGGAGATTTTATTTTAATTATATAATATATGACTAGTTTAAGTATATAGGTTCATATATCTCGTATTATTTGGTTTATCAGACATCAGTTGTTACTTATATTTAAGTTCAAGAGACTAGTGATTTATTATTAAGAAATGTATAATTTATTTGGAATATTCTCTTTGAAACATTTTGATGCTTTCAATATTCCTATTTCTACATAGCATTGATCACATGATTTATTTGTCTTTTTTTTTCAGCGAGAAAAGATTCATGAGAGATGCAAGAATATTTGTCCTCCTAAAGATACCTTTGACAGGACTCTTTTACATACTCATGGTATGAATATGTGTTATTTATAGATAATAAAGCACAGCATAATTTTTTTTTTTTTTTGGAGCGGTTTTTGCTATAGAGTGCATGCGCTTACCAGAAAGACAGAGAAGGACAGAGAGACAGAAAGCGAGAAATCACCCCCCAGGGAAGATGGCCACTCTGCAATCCCTTCTCCTCCATTTTCATCTCGGGATCTTGGGTATGCACACACACACACCCAGCGTGAGTTTAAGCTGCCAGGTCAGGGATTCAAACCACAGTTAACTACATGGGAGTTCAGTGATATCACCATTATGCCATCTGCTGGTTCCAGCACAGCATAAATATTAATGGACAAAATCTTAATTTGACAATCTTGTTGTCTGTTATAGCTAAAATTTTTATTTGTAGTTACACTTTCATAGCCTACAATCAATCTTTTCTAAAAGCTTTAAGAGAAAAATCATTAGACTTATAGTAGTAGTGTAAGCCTTTAGTTAAAAGTTTTTTAAATTAATATCTTGGTGCTTGATATTTTGCTTGCTTCTTAAAAATAGGTAAATAAAAAATAGTTTTGCTCCTCAAGGAGCTGATTGTCTCCTAAGTTTAAAGAAATAAACCAGAGACCAGCAGGTGGTATAGTGGTTAAGGCTCCAGACTCCCACATGGCTGACCGCAGTTTGAGTTCTAGACTTGGTGGCTTGAAACTCACGCCAGATGTGTGTGCATGCATGCTGAAAATCCCAAGAGAATAATGGAGAAGAAACGATTGAGATATGGCCATCCTCCCTAGGGAGAAATACCTCGCTTTCTGTCTCTCTGTCTCTCGTTTTCTCTCTGGCAAACACATGCACTCTATAGCAAAAAAAAAAAAAAAAAGAAAAAGAAAAAATCTCGTAAAGAAAGAAACCAGTAATTATAGCATTGTATATCAAATGTTCAGTTCAGGGTGTCAGGGTGGTAAGGTTGGATAGTATTCCTAACTCAGCTTTATAAGGCTTTCTAGAGCTGATGATTGCTTGTGTTTTTAATTAGTTAGCATGAAGCATTTATGTGGGAAAAGGTATTCCTGGGAAAGGCAACAGTTTATACAAAATCATAGAGTCAAAATAAAATGTACATATTCAAGGAATTACAATAGTTTAATATATTGACTCTACTGAAAGCAAGAAGTGAGGCTGAAGCAATATGCAGGGGTTAAATCATGAAGAACATTTTATGCCTTGCTTAGGAATTTTTCTAAAGGGAATGAGTATAGAGCTCCAATAGGCAGGCATGATGAGATTTATGGCTTAAAATTCAATGTGAAAACAGTTTGCAGATAATGAATTATGAAACGATGGTAAAAGTAGAGGCAAGGAAATAGTTGAAGGCTAATGCAGTAATGCGAGTAAGAAATGAAGTGACTTCAGTAACAGTTAAAATAAAGATGGAGAGAAAATTAGGCCTTTGAGGTATACTTCAGAGATTGGGGCACAGAGTTTGATAGTCATTTTTTGGTAATGGAGCAAAATATTTCAAGGATGATTTCCAGGTTTCTTGTATAGGCAACTGGTTAGTTGAGAGGCGCAATTCAGTGAGAGATAGATAATATAGGAGGAAGACTTTTCGAAGAGATGGAAGTTAGTTGCAGATTTGCAGTGAAGGACATGTCTTATTAGCAACCTGAGCTTAGGAAGGAGATCTAGGCTGAAGATGTAGACATGGTAGACATTATCATATTGTATAGACAGTAGCGTTGTAATTAAATCCAAGGACATGAATGGGATCACCCAGGGAGGACTTGAATAATGAGAAGAAAAACGATTGGTGATAGAAATTGTCACAGTTAAGGGCAGATAAAAGATGAGGTATCTGTGAAGGAGACTGAAAAAGTGGTCAGAGAGATAAGAAATGTCAAGTGAGAGAATTTCAGAGAAGTGAGAATGATTAGTGTACAATGTCAGAATACTGAAGGGATTGGTTAATGTGTACATTGAGAAGTCTCCTATGATTTGGCATTTAGGAGATCTTGGGAAGAGCATTTGGACTAGAATAATGTTTACAGAAACTTCAAAGAAATATAGACTCCCAATGTGGTTGTGACTGGAAGATTTGAGATAGGGTATTGGCAAGAATGGAAGAATTTTTTTTTTTCTTTTTTTTGGAGAGGTTTTTGCTATAGGGCGCGTGCACTCGCCAGCCAGACAGAGAGAGACAGACAGATAGAAAGCGAGAAATCACCCCCCAGGGGGAATGGCTACGCCGCAATCCCTTCTCCTCCATTCTCCTCTCGGGATCTTGGGCACTCACGCACACGTGCCCGGCGTGAGTTTAAGCCACCGGGTCCGGGACGCGACTATGGTCGACTATGTGGGAGTCCAGTGACATAGCCATTACGCTAACTGGTCCTGAGAATGGAAGAATGTTTTTTCATGGCCAGGACTAGATGAGTTGAGAGAGATTTGCATAACTCTGAGAATGAGTGCTTCCTTACATTTCCACTTGAGGTGCCTCCCTTGCCTCAATCCAGAGCCGCAACCAGTCTTTGAGTTTATATCTTTTTGTTCTTTTTGTTTTGTTTTATTTTTAAATGAAGAGCTGCAGAGATGAAAGACCTAGTAGTTGGGAAAGGTTGAAGATATTCAGCAAGGCAAGATAATTGAAGTAAGTTCACAGAATAGGGAAGCGGGAATGGAGTCCAAGTACAAAAAGGTTAGTTTTGAATAGGAAAAGGGTACCTTATCTGAGATTGAATTGGCCAGACTAAGGCAAAGTAGGTACATTTACAATTAAGTTTATAGGTGGTGATACAAACTCAGATGTCTGAGAACAGAATTAATATGGTATAAAAATGTAATCTTTGATTATAAGAAATTCTGGATGGGGTGGAGGATATTTTAAAACAGTGAAAACAGTATTTCTGTTTTAGAGTTTTTTTTGTTTGTTTTAGAATTTCATTCATTTAAAAAAACTTAGTCTCCCATACTTAATCTAATCTTACCAAAACTTAATAAGATAGCATGAAGCTTTCTGTGCCCACTTAAAATAAGATTTGAAATGTATTTTGTTCTTTGTTTCTGCTATTCAGTTGATTAAAATTCTTTGAAAGATGTTGTTCAGTGCTTTTCCTACACCTAGGGATGTAGTAGTTACTTGATAGATACTTATTGAAGGAAGAAACTTAAGTAGTTACTTGTTTGTGACCCAGAATATGTTGAATCTGTCAGAAATACATTTTTATGGAGTAAAATGAAAAGTTTAAGAAAATCATATTTTCCCTTTTTTTCTTAGATAAATCCAGGACAGATCTGGAGCAAGTACCTAAGGTAACAAAGCATAAAAATGAGAATAATTTGGGAGCCAGCAGGTGGTGTGGTGGTTGAGGTGCTGGAGTCCCACATGGCTGACTATGGTTCAAGTTCTGAACATAGTGGCTTGCTTTCTCACTTTCTCCCTCTCTCACTCTTTCTCTCTCTGGTGAGCACATGTGCCCTATAACAAATTAAAAAAAAAAAATAATAATTTTTTTTAATGGTCTTTTAAATTTGCCTTATAAGATGTTTTCATTTTGCTGTTTTGACATTTGATCACTTTGCCTCTTCTGGGACTTTATTGCATCATTTTTTTCTTTCTGGTTTTTTTTTTTTTTTTTTTTTGCTTGTTTGTTTGTTTAATTGCTAAAAAATTTTAGGGCTGCTTATGGCTTGTTGGTTAAGATGGCTGGATCCCACATAGCTGGTAATGCAATTCAAGTTGTGAACCTGGAGACTTGAGAAACAAGCCAGACATGTGTGAGTGCATGCCCAAAATTCTAAAAGAGAAGTGGAGGAAAAGGGATTGTGGCATGACTATGCCTGATGAGATTGTTTTTTTCACTTTGCTTTCCTCTCTTTCTGTCTCTCTGGTGAGCACATATGCCCTCTGGCAAAAAGTTTTTTAAAAATTTTGTTTTTAATGAAAATATTTTTATGTTTATGGTCTTTTTTTCTTTTTTCTTTTCTTTTTTTATTTTTTTGTATCATTAGTCTCTTCCTTATTATAGGAACCTATCTATATTTAAGCCTATCCAATCTAAAAAATAATTTTGTTGGGACCTGCAGGTGGTGTGGTGGTTAAAGGTACTGGACTCCCATATGGCCAACTGCGGTTCAAGTCCCGGACCTGGTGGCCTGCTTTCCTCCCTCCCCCCATCAAACTAGAAAAATAAATAAATAAAGTTAAATAAAACAATTCTAACAAAAATAATAATTTTGTTGATCTTACTACCTCTTTAGATTATTGAGGTATTTTCTTGGTCTGACAATGTTGTAGAGATGTGTAGTAGATGTACTTTTTTTCTGGGTAGGGTTTATTGCATTCATCAGATTTTCAAAGAGGTCTGTGACAATTACTCTTTGGGGTGAGCAAGAAAGAAAAATGAAAGACATAATAAAGGAAAAGACATTATTTTGAAGATTCTTTGATTCCTATTGTACAAAACAAAATTCAGATCGTCCCTTAAGGCTCTTCATAATTTGCCTCCACTGTAGTCATACCTGTAACTTTGGCCTACTATCTTTACACATTCTTTAGCCAAATGTTTGTTGACTCTGTTTTTTACTTGCATAGTTCCTTCAGTATGGCGCTTTCTTCCCTCATCTGTTTATAATCCTTCACTAAAATAGCAACTTTACATGAATTTTGAGCAGGAGAAAATAGAAATATAAAGTAGAGAAAATGATGGGGCCAGCAGGTGATATGGTGCTTAAGGGACTAGACTTTCACATGACTGCCCATAGTTTAAGTCCTGGACCTGGTGGCTTGCTTTCTCACTTTTTCCTCTCTCTCTCTGTCTCTCTGGTGAGCACATATGCCCTATGGCAAATTTAAAATAATAATAATAAATAAAATAAAATAAATATATTTTTAAAGGTAGATAAGTTGATTATTTGTCATTTTGAAAAACTTAATAAAAAACAATATGAAAATTTTAGGGTAAGTCTGATATCTCCTTTTGGTGTGGTCTGGTGGGAATGCACTAGTGAGTTTGATCAAATACTAAAGGAATAATGATCTTCACTGGTAAAGGCAAAAACCATTGTCCTCTCTCTTATGAGAATGTTAAGCTTGGCAAAACATTATTGTCACTTTTCTTTCTTTCTTTTTTCTTTTTGCTATAGGGTGTGCGTACTTACTAGAGAGGGACAGAGAGAGATAGAAAATGGGAAATCACTCCCCAGGGGAAATGGCCACTCCACAGTTCCTTTACCTCCATTCTCCTCTTGGGGTTTTTGGGCACACACACACACACTTTTCTTAATACAGATTTTTATGTAAATAGCTCAGCCTGTTATCACTTGCTTTTGCTGTTCAAATTCAGGATCCAAATTAATTTTTGTATACTAGTCTTAGAACATTAGAAAGATTAATGGATGTAAAAATATGTTTATCTAATAGAGGGAAATGCATTTTTTTAATAGATTTTTATGAAACCAGATTTTGCCTTGGACGATTCCTTAACTTTTAATTCAGTTTTACCATGGTCTCATTTTAATACTGCTGGTGGAAAAGGAAATCGTGATGCAGCTTCCTCAAAGTTGCTTCAAGAAAAGGTAATTTCTCTATCAATGACTTTTTTTCATATAGAGCTTTATGCTAGTTAAGTGGTGCTATTTGTGTGGGTTCAGGTTTAGTTATTTCATAAGCCCTGTTTCTCTTAAGTTCATTTTTGTTATTACTGGTAATTATAAATCTTCCAGTCTTAGTTGATAAAGAAATAGCATTTTGGTTCATCGAACTAAAAATTGTGCCAGTTAAAAAGGAAAAGCTGTGTTTAAGTGCTGCTTATATGAAACAGTAGTTGGTGGAATTTTAATTGAAAGGGTATGTTAGATAACATAGTGAATTGTTTTGCATTTATCCCTAACAGTTCAGTTATAGATCAGCTAATTTTATAAGAATGATTTAAAGTACAGAAAACTAATTTTTCCTGAGGTATGTTTCCTCATTTTTACGTAATAAAGATGATTATTTTGAAGCAAGACTATCTTAGTTAAAATAGTTCTATTGTATTTTTAGCTTGAAAATTATAGTCTTTTTTTCATTTAGAATTATTTTATTTTAACTTTATTTATTTATTATAATTTGACTAGAGAAGGATAGGGGTGGGGGAGGGGAGTGAGAAAGCAAGCCACCAGGTCCGGGACACAAACTGCAGTTGGCCATGAGGGAGTCCAGTGCCCTTAGCTACCACACCACCTGCTGGCCCCACAAATTATAATCTTTTGAATATTGTTAGTCAGCAGCTTTCAAAAATTTTATTTATTTATTTAATTTTATTTGTTATTATTATTTATTTTTAAATTTAACCAGAGACAGAGAAAGGGAAAGTGAGAAAGCAAGCTGCCAGGTCTAGGACTCAAACCACAGTTGGCCATTTGGGAGTTGAGCACCTTAACTACCACTCTACCAAACAGCCCTTAGTCAGCAGTTCTTTAAATTTTAAATTTCATAATATTCTATCTTTCACAAGTCAACCTTTTGGAAGTTATTTAAAATTTAGAGCTATAAATAACATGCATATCAAGAATCTTCTAAAAATTGAGTGCAAGTTTATAGTTATATTTTGGGTTGTCTGGAAAATCATGCTGCATTTTTGCATAGAAAATTACATCATGACTTTCCCAAAGACCTAGTAGAAGGAGCAAGTTCTATAACACAAGAAAGTGACTGGTTGACAATAATTTATTATATATTTCAAAGTGACTAGAAGAGAGAATTTTGAATGTTTTCAACACAAATAATGATGAATGTTTGAGGTATAGATATGATAATTACCTGATTTGATCATTACATGTTATATTCATGTATCAAATTCATGTACCCCCTATATATACAATTATGATGTGAATTAAAAATAATTACAAACCTCGAGTGGTAGTAAAGACCACTAAGAATAGTCTCTATCCTTTCTCTAGATACTTTTCTAAAACTGATCATGATTCTTAAAATGAGAATAAATTGGGGACTGGCAGTTGGCATGGTGGTTAAGGCACTGGATTCCTACATGGCTGACTGTAGTTCATGTCCTGAACCTGGTGGCTTGCTTTCTCACTTTCCCTATCTCTTTCTCTGGTCAAGTTAGAAAATAATAATAATGAAAATAAATAAAATAAAATAAATAAAATAGTTCTTTAAAAAATGAGAAGAAATAATTTTGTTTCACTCTGGGGATATCTTTTCTCAATGTGAAAGCTAGTCTCAGGAAGACTATTGAGTAAATTAGGTGTAGTCCTCAGTAATTGAAGAAAAGACTAGCCTGGGGAGGAGAGAAGTAATGTGAGAAAAGAATCATGAGAATTTCTTTCTTCACAATTGAAAATAAATATGAGCTCACTTTTTCCTTTGGTAACATTTTTCACCTATAAATAAGTTTTCCTTGAATAAGAACAGATTCATAAATCTGATGAAAAGATTAGGTTTATGGATACAGGTTCTCTCTAAGACTGCTTTTTCAACTGTCTTAAGTATTTGCTTTAGTAGAATAAAAGAAATAAGTCAATAAAAATCTCATCAATATATACAGATACTTTTAGGAATACTTTTAAAATTGTATGCTTTATAGCATTTTAATAGGAAATAAATTACAAAAATAGTATGCCTTTGAAAATAGTAGATCAATAGAATATTGATAAATTCTAGAATTCTTTGAAATTCAAATGAAATGCTTTTCTCATGCTGAATGTTTAAAGTGACTAAAGTGATGAACATTTTTTTATTTGTGAGTTGCAGAATCAGGTTTGCTGTATTTATATCGACTCCTTTTCAATCTTCTCTGTTCTTAGAATAGTAATTGAAGACAAGATTCAGAGAGCACTTTCAAACTCGCTTTATGAAGGAAAACAGTTGTTTTATCTTGCTAGTTTTAAAGAGAGGGGACGTGAGAAGGGATGCTACAACCAGAAATAAAGACATTTGTATCCTATTGTACCCAAAGTCTGCAAGTGAGATAAGGAATTTGCACTGGCATACAAATCACTGCACTCTAAAAACATTAAGAAAGTCAGTCTCTGAAAAAAATAAATCCCATATGCTTAGAAATATGCTTGATTTACTTTCCAATAAAGTTCCTTATTTTATCATGGAACTGTTAAAAAGTTCACAGATTGGCAGCAGCATGTATACTGCATTTGGAGTGGCACTGAAGAAATCCTAAAGAAATTATCCATTCTATATTTTGTTCTGAAAACCAAATTCACTTTAACTTGCAATTTGTGCCTATGTTGTTTTCTCAGTAAATAAATAAACAACTATATTCGAGATAAACAAGAGCAAAAGGGTATAGACTCAAGAAGAAATTTGTTTGTAACCTATTAAATATTATAATATTGGGTTGTTGGAAAAGTCATGATGCACTTTTGCATAGAAAAACAGAAAAAATATGCCATGACTTTCCACAACCCAGCTGATCACTGAAGGAACATTTTTGAAGATGTCAGTAATACTGTGTATGTGTGTGTGTGTGTGTATGTATATGTGTGTGTGTGTGTTAAAGGATTATTTTTACTTAATTTTATTTGTTATTATTATTGTTACTATTTTTAAAAATTTGACCACAGGCAGAGGGAAAGTGAGAAAGCAAGCCACGGGGTCCAGGACATGAACCATGGTTGGCCATGTTGGGAGTCCAACGCCTGAACCACCATACTACCTGCCGGCCTCGATACTGTGTGGTTTTAAGGAAACAGGTTTGATAACCAAATAGTCTCTTCTGTTTATAAGCCCTAAATTTTGAAAGTCCATTAACCCTTTCATATCATGAGTATACCTGAGATATTCAGAGATAATATCTAAAGTCTTAGTTATAGGTTAAAAAATCTAAAAGTAAAAAACATGGGTGAGAAATAGATAATATAGCTGAAAGAGGCATGTGCGGTAAGAAAGGATGAAAAGATAAATTAAGTTTTAAAAGTCTGTATTTGAGGGAACCAGCAGTTAGTGTAATGGCTATGTCACTGGATTCCCACATAGTCAGCTGCAGTTCGTGTCCTGGACCCAGTGGCTTAGAACTCACGCCGGGCACGTGTGCGTGCATGCCCAAGATCCCGAGAGGAGAAGGGAGGAGAAGGGATTGCGACGTGACCATCCCCCCTGGGGGGTGATTTCTCGCTTTCTGACTCTATGTCTCTCTCTGTCTGTCTGGCGAGCGCATGCACCCTATAGCGAAAACCTCTCAAAAAAAAAAAAAAAAGTCTGTATTTGCAATATATAAAGCATTTTAAATATATATTACTATAATAATCTCAGAAGTGTAATAAAATATACACAAGCTAGTTATCTAAGGCGTTTGTCATTCTTTTAAGAGGAAAATACTTTGGAAATAAACTGAATTTTACAAATTGATGAAAGAGTTATTTTTGAAATGCTAAATAAGCAGCCTGAGATAAAAAGATCTAAATGAATTCACATTTTTTTAATATGTAATTTATGGCTGAACCACCCATCTGTCTTTTATAGATTCTTTAGTATTTTGAGGCAGCATGATAAAGTGGAAAGATCTTCAATTTTTGAGTCAAACAGACGTGAATTTACACTTTAGTTTTGCCACTTTCTAACTATATGACTTCAGGTTATTTAATGTCTTGAGTTTTCTTATCTGTAACATGGGAATGAGTAATGACTGAATTCCAAGATTGTTAAAATTAGAAAAATTAGATATGTATAAAATACTTGTATCTAATATATAGAAGGAAAAGGTCTTTCAGGTTTTAGAAGTTCTGAAACTAGAATTATTACCTGAGATGGCTGTGGAGTACTCTTATGTTTTAGGAAAAAAGTTGTATTTGAAAGATAGAATGGTGGTAGCAGAGGAAGAAAATAAACCATCCTCTATTCCTTTGTCTTATGTTTACTAATCTATGGCTATACATTTAATCTCCCTTCTATTTTCCTATGCCCAATTCCAAGGAGTTTACAATCTAACAATTCACACAATGGAATTTAAAATATATTTTTATTTAAAAATTTTTTTAACTAGAAATATTTTCACTAGTAAATCCCTAATACCTAGACAGTAACTGGTATATAGCAGACACTCAAAAGTATTTGTCAGGCAAACTAGTGATTGTAAAACACTGTCTTTTATTTTTTGTCAAGAACTAAAGATGCTGAGTTAGTAATACAAGAGTGACAAGGTTTGCAAAAGTAGAAAAGAAAAAGAAAAATTTTATTAATTTCATTTTTCAGAAAATAATTGGATAAGTCAAAGAAGGTATGTTTATAATAGTCCATTTTTTTTTCTTTTCCCTCTTCAGCTGAGCCATTATCTGGATATTGTGGAAGTAAACATTGCTCACCAGATCTCTCTACGTTCAGAAGCATTTTTTCATGCAATGACCTCTCAACATGAATTGCAGGACTACCTCAAGAAAACTTCCCAGGCTGTAAAAATGCTTCGAGATAAAATTGCACAGATTGATAAAGTAATGTGTGAAGGATCACTACACATTTTAAGACTGGCACTTACCAGAAATAATTGTGTTAAAGTATACAATAAACTGAAGTTAATGGCCACTGTACACCAGACTCAGCCTACAGTACAGGTGTTACTGTCTACTTCCGAATTTGTTGGAGCATTGGACTTAATAGCAACAACACAAGAGGTTCTACAGCAGGAACTTCAGGGCATTCACAGTTTCCGGTATGTCTATCAAGTAGCCATTAAAAATAGTGTTAGATTTTTTTTTTTTTTTTTGAGAAGTTTTTGCTATAGGGCGTGTGTGCTCATCAGAAAGACAGAGAGAAACAGACAGAAAGCAAGACATTACCTCCTGGGGGGATGGCCACATTGCAATCCCTTCTCCTCCATTCTCCTCTCAGGATCTTTGGCACGCATGCTTACTCACCCGGTATGAGTTTAAGCCATCGAGTCTGAGACTCAAACTGCGATCAACTACATGGGAGTCTAGTGACATAGCCATTTTGCCAACTGTTAGTCCCAATGTTAGAAATTTTTAAAGGATAAATTTTAGCGTGTAGTGCTAAAAGTATGAATATACTCAAAGTTAAATGGGCATTTTTTTCTTTCTGTTGATCGGTTTAGTAATGTTATTCTGGTATTTTAATATTAGCAAAGTTGACAAAACCATAAGTAATAATATTTATAGAGACATTTGGATAGAGAAGCAAAATTAAAACTTGTAGTTGATTAAATAAATGTAAAGCTAGTTAAAACCTTGAAAATGTTGAAATAACTTTGTGTTAAGATGGTAGATCAAGGGGCCAGCAGGTGGGATGCTGGTTAAGGGCTCTGGATTCCAGTTGGCGCTCGTCGACTGCAGTTTGAGTCCCAAACTTGGCAGCTTGCTTTCTCACTTTCTCTCTCTCTCTCTCTTTCACTATGTCCCTCTTTGGTCAAAATTAAAAATAAGTAAATAAATAAAATTCTAAAAAAATATGATAGTAGGTCAAGGTAGAAAGGGGATTACCAGTATATTTAAAATTAATTTCACTTAAAAATGCTTTCATAGATTTTAAATTGACTGATTATTAATATTAGCAATCTGTTTATCACTTTGCAAAAAATTCCCTACAGTGATGGAAAAGATTAAATTTTTTCTAAGTTTTTATTTTGAAAACGCTCCTCCCTTTAGGTTTTTTTTTTTTTTTTTTTTTTTTTTTTGCTTTTTTTTTTGTGCGGGG